TAGAAACTAGGATATAATAAAGTACAAGTACAAATGTGAGATTGAGGGCTAACATTAACATCCCCCCATAGGCGTCAATCAAACTCATAGCAGAGAAGGTGGAACGCAAAGCCCCATGGCGCCTAGAAGGTGATGGTGAAGAACCTTCCCAAGGGGCTTGGTGAATAGATCAGCCAAGTTGCAGTCAGAAGCCATATACTCCACATTGAGTTGCTCCCGCTGGACAAGGTCACGGATGAAGAAGTGCCAAGGTCGATGTGCTTGGTGCGAGTGTGGTACACGGGATACTATGAGAGGTGGATGGTGCTCTTGTTGTCACACCAGAGGGTGGGAGTGGGCTGAGGGTAGCCAAGCTCCTGGAGTAGGAAGGTGAGCCAGCGGGCCTCTTGAGCCGCCATGGTGCCAGCATAGAGCTCTGCCTCAGAGGAAGAGAGGGAGACTGCAGGCGACCGGGTGGAGCGCCAGCTGATAGTTCCGCTCCCAAGGGTGAAGCAGTAGCATTGGGAGGAGCGTCAATCGGTCACGTCATCAGCCCAGGAGGAGTCCGTGTATCCTTCCAGTCGAGGAGGAGAAACCCCACCAAGGGTGAGGACATGAGACTTGGTTCCCTGCAGATAGCGCATCACCCGGTTTGCCGCTTTTCAGTGAAAATCAGTGAAGCATCCAGGAGCCGTATAGCAAGAGAGGACGCTGACAGGGCAAGCCAGGTCAGGCCGGGTGCACATCATGGCGTACATGAGGGACCCAACAAGCTTTGGGTATGGCTCTGTGCAGGCCTCTCGTGTAGGGAAAGCTCGAGCGGTGAGGAGGTGCTGTAGTGGCGGTGGGGTGGTGATGGGTGTGCACAACTCCATCTCAAAGCGCTTGAGTACATTGTTGATGTAGAACTTCTGGGAGAGTGAGATGGTGCGAGCCTGGCGATCACGAGTTATCTCCATCCCTAAGTAGTGCTTGAGGTTACCTGGACAAAGGTCATCTAGGCCGAGTCCTTGGCAATGAGGATGAAGTCATCGACGTAGAAAAGAATGTAGAATGGCTCAGAGTGATGGCGAATGAAGAGAGTCGGGTCAGCAGATGATGGGTGAAAGTCCAAGGAGAGAATGACTTCTTTCACTTTGTTCTGCCATTTACGAGGGGCTTGTTTGAGGCCGTAAACAGGGAAATTCAGCTTCTAAGTAGTGTTGGGAGGGAACTCTCTTGGAAAGCCTTAGGTCAGTCCATAAACACAATCTCCTTAATGTGTCCTTGCAAGAATGCTGAAGAGGCGTCCATGGATTTGATCTCAAAGTCGTCTCGTGCGGCTACATCCAAGAGCATGCAAACTGTGGGTGGTTTGGATGTGGGAGAGAAGGTTTTGAAGAAGTCATACTGCTGAGTGAATCCCTTGGCCACGTAGCGTGCTTTGAACACATGTGCCTCGTCTGGAAGCTGCTTCACCCCAAACAGCCACTTGCCACCAACGATGTTAACTCCTGGAGGTGGAGTTTCATCGTCAAAGGAGTGGTTGCGGGTGAAGGCTTCATACTCAGCTTCCATGGCAGCGTGCCACTCGGCAGCATGGGGACCCAAAAGGGCCTCTTGGACAGTGAGAGGGATAGGAATGGTCGGGTTCTCCGAGAAGTTGAGCGAGGGGGATTCAGTGATATCGGGGAAGATGTGCGAAAGCTGAGGAAGGACAGCGTGGAGATCACACAGCTCCTCATGCCTGTCTTCCAAAAGAGTAGAGGGCACATCCCTTCCAGCAGGAGGAGTCGGAGTGATCACTGAGCATCGAATGGCAAGTGCTAGTGGAGGAGCAGCCCCATGCGACCGAATGCCATGAGCCACCGGAGAAGAGGGTGGAGCAGACGTTCCTAGAGGGGACGGCTTAGGGGGCTTGGGGGGAGGGATGGGCCGTCGTTGGTACGTGATTACTTCGCTTGGGTGTAGGAGAGCAGGTTCCTGAGTGGAGGAGGGAACCGGGGGAGGAGGTGGGGCGGGCTGGTTCGACCGCCGATGGTATATGATAGGTGCGCTTGGTGGTGGGGGCGCAGTTGGCAGAGTGGAAGAGGGCGGGGATGGAGGAGCAGCTGCTGAGGACACCAGAGAGGTCGGGTCAGAGACCTCATACGGGGATGGTGCAATGGCAGGAGAAGCAGGAGGTGAGGGGGCTGGCGCAGGCGGAGGTTCAGAGGGTGCATCAAAGTCAGCCCACACAAGAGAGGGAGGTCCGGAGGGGGGATCCCCCCCCCCCCCCCAAGGTGGAGTAGAAGGGGCGAGTCTCATCAAAGACAACATCTCGGCTCGGGACGAGTTGTTGAGTGGTGGGGTTGAAGAAAAGGTAATCAGGGGAATCAGCGTTATGCCCAAGGTATATGCACGTTTGAGTTTTGGGACCAAGCTTGCCACCTTGCCGCCGTCGAGCCTAGGGGTTGGGGAGCACATAGGCTCTGCACCCCCAGACGTGAAGGGGGCAAGCACTGGGTGTTTTCCCAAGCCAGAGTGTGGTGGGAGTGGTGTTGGGAAGATGCGGGTGGGGATAGAGGTTGTAGAGGAGGGCGGCATGATAGAGGGCGTACCCCCAGAGTGAGAGTGGTGCGTTGGAGTGACTGAGGAGGCAGCGAGTGATCTACGTCAGTGTGTGATTGCGGCTCTCTGCTATGCCGTTCTGCTGCGGTCTATCAAGAAGAGTGAAGTTTTGCAGGATGTCAAGGGAGGAGCAGTAGGCTTTGAGCTTGTCGTTGCAAAATTCACCACCACCATCCGAGTGGAGACGCTTGACCTTGGTGCCAAAGGAGGTATGTGCCTGGTTAACCCATGCCATGATTGCCTCCGGGGCCTCAGCCTTAGTGTGGAAGAGGTTCACAGAGACGTAGCGAGTATGGTCATCAATTATCAGAAAGAAATAGTGATGGCCATTCCGTGCGGCAACCGGGGCAGGGCCCCAAACGTCCATGTGCACTAGGTCCAGTGGGGCTGCTGCTACTGAGGGTGAGGCCAGGTGGGGCTGTTGGCGCAGTTTGCTCCTGGTACAGTCAAGGCCCATGGGGGCGGGTGAGTCAGGTGGAGGAGGAAGTGAGGCTGGCAGGCCGAGAAGAAGTTTCTTGGAGGCCATGTCAGCACGTGTGCGGAATTTTGGGTGCCCGAGCCGATGGCGGTAGAGGATGGTCAAGTTGGAGAAGCTACGACACGAGCATGGTGTGATAGTAGCTTGTGCGTGGGTGATTGAGACTTGTGGGATGGGTACTCGCAGCGTGTAAAGGCCGTCGCTATTGAGGGTGGGGCTTGTTGGTGAGTGGATAGATGATGTCGCAATAGTCCTCGTTCTCCGAGAAGATGGTAAGTTTGATTTATAAGTTTCCGTTTGAGCCACTAGATTGTGGCGTAGTGAAGGCACGCACATGCCAGTGACAGTGCCGGATGGGAAGGCAGGGCACGGGACTGTGGATGAATGGGTGTTGCGTAAGGTTTGAAGGAGAGTGTCTCCTTGAGCACTGTGTGAGTGGCCCTGCTATCGAGTATGAATTCTATGCATTTTGGTGCCTGTCATGAGCCGATGTACTGCGAAGTTGCTTCATTAATCATGGTTGTGCCAGGGAACAACAAGTTGATGCGCACATCAGCAGGAGCATTATCAGTAGCACTAGCCTGGGCGGGGTCATGTGCCTCAACTACGTTGGCCTTGCGAGGACGCATCTATTTCGGCGGTTTCTTGTCGACTCCATGGATGGCATACCATTCGTCGGCTTTCCTCTAGAAGCACGTGGCGAGGGGGTGGTTAGTGCCACCACACACTTGTCCCTTACGGTTTCCATACTTGACGATGTAGGTGCATGGAGGGAAGCGGTTGCTCTAAAAGGACGCCGAGGCGAGTGCTGATGCGACACTTGCTTGAGGCACGGGAGCACGGAGGACGTAGGCCTTGGCTTGGGCCGAGGAGTCTTTCTCGGTGGAGAGGAGGGCGGAGGATACCTTAGCAGAGGTAAGGTCTTCCGCCGAGGACATGAGCAGCATTTTCCTTGTGACTTCGTATGCCGAGGTGAGGCCAACAAAAAGGGCGGTTGCAGGAGCTTGTTCAGGGAAGATAATACCTAGATCCTTGAGCTCGCCATAGATGGTTTGCACCTTGGCGATGTAGTCGGCCATACGCGGGTAATCCTCAAGGCGGACTTGAAACATGCTAGGAATGAGGATGGCCACCCCGATTGCCATCTTATTTATGAACTTGTCCTGGAGATGCTTCCAAATGGCATTGGAATTGGGGTAGTTGTGGAACGTGTTGACAAGTTCAGGAGGAGTGGAGCCGATGAAGACGCTAATGATAGCCCCATCGGCTTTCTTCCACTTGCGATACTTGACAGCAGAGTCCTCGTACTCCTGGGTTGCCACGGCATCGGTTGGATCGGACGGCTCCTTGGGGATGGGGGGCTGTTTTCCCTTGCCATGATTGAGAAGAACGTCCTTGAGGTTAAGTCCACCCACTTCACCACCCAGGAGGAGCTTGTCAGCCCTGTAGCTCCATGCCTTGAAGTTGGAGCTAGTGCCGTCGGCTTCAAGGTGGAGCGGGGTGATGGGGTTGGCGAGAGTGGCCGAGGCGAAAGCCATGGCGAATAACCCTTTAGATCTTGCGTGAAGTGCTGCTCTTGAGTCACCGATAGGAACTTGAGGTTTAGGGTTTTCGAAGGAGAAATTGAAGAACTTGGGGTTTATGTTTATGAAGGAGAATTGTGAGGTTTATGGTTTCAGAAGGAGAAAATCCGAGGGACGCGAAGAGCGAAAAGCTTTAATGTCAGCCGTTTCGGAATGTTTCGTAGAAGGAAGTTTAGGGCCGATGAAGGTAGGTCAAATCGGCCGATTTCGATAGCTAACCTTATTCCCACACACCCCTCCACACACCACCCTCAGCTTTGCGGCTACGCTGCTGCTCAACTTCGCTACTACATAGCTGCTCAGCTGCGCGGCTGCACCTGTTCAGCTGCGGAGTGCCGTTGCGGGGCGACGGGCGGCAGCCCGACGAGAAGATGCAGGGCAACGGGCGAAGGCCCGACGAGAAGCTGCAAGGCGACGAGCGGCAGCCCGACGAGAAGCTGCAGGGCGACGGGCGGCGGCCCGACGAGAAGAAGTGGAGCGAAGATGATTGTAAAAAAAATGGGATTGATTTAAGCACCGACGATGCGCTTACCAGAGAAGTTGCGAAAGTCGTCGAGAAGGAAGAGAGAGTAGCGCGGGAAAATTTTCAGCCAAGGAAGTCGAGAATCACCGACGACAGGATTGATGTCCGCTACGCCAAAAAAAGCGGGACAAGAGCCCGCTGAGATATGAGGATAACGATATGCGTGTGCGGTTGAACCGCTCTGATACCATATTAGAACTTGAGCGAAGAATCCATACATTAGTAATGAGCTCAAGGCTCTTTAATTACGTTGGAAATGGGCAGGGTAGGGGTGGAGAGAGAATCAGGGGCAATCCTAGGGAATTGGGGGTAATCCCAAGACAATCTCCAATTGGTGGGTTGGAGATTTCTTGGAGATCATATTTGGGTTTGGTTGGGATGTGGGTGTACACCCAACCAAACACTAAGTGCAAACTACACTAAACTAGGATATAATAAAGTACAAGTACAAATGTGAGATTGAGAGCTAACATTAATACCGTACCCCTTCACCTCCCCCCTCTCGCCCATCTTTCTTTGTTACGTGTCTATCTCCCCACTCCCCCCACACCCAAGGTACGCCCAGCAGGTGGTGACAAAGAAGGTTCGAACGTTCTGGTGGCGCCCCATACCTCCCTTCCCTCCCCACGCCACCCCCCTCCTCCCTCCCACTTCTTCCCTGCTGTCTTTCTCTCTCTTTCCCCGAAACTCTCTTCCCAACACCCAGTTCAGAAGCTAATGAATAGGTACCTCTCTCTTCCCTTCGCCTCTTTCCACCCAAGGGACTGCAGGAAATGTTTTGTTCGCGGAACTGAAGCGGTTCCTACTCCGCTCAACCTCGGTTGCGACATTCCTAGCAACGAGGAAGGCTCTCTTCCACCGACTTCACGGCCGTGGTTACGCGCCTGTGTTTCTGCGCCCAATTTCAGGACGCTTCAGGAAGACCCCCTCAAGGTGAGCGCCGGCCAAACTCCCACCCGCCCGCCCCCCCCACGTTGTGGTCACATCAAAGTGGCAACCACAAACCTCACCGTGCCTCCCTCTCATGGCCCTCACGCTACTTCCTTCCCCCACCTCCACCTCATGATGTGCCTTGTCGCACCACTTGCACCACTTCAACAATCCCAGATTACTTACGTTTTTAGTTGACTCGAAGGCCTCCCCTACTGCCCCCTCATGCTGAGCCCTATCGGTGTACCACCTCACCCCAACAAGAAGGGGTTGCTGAGTCGATTCAAACATTAGTCTCAGCAGCCGCCATCTCTACCTCATGCTCAGCCCTAGTCGCAAAAAAAAAAAAAAAAAAAACGACTGAAGCCCTGTCATTGCCACGACCCTTGCAGCCACTTCGCCACCCCGATTACGGCTGGGACACGTGCCAACCACCCCTTTTCCTCTCCACGTACCCGCTCCCCTCTCAGTGAACCTCTCCCCTCTCTGCACCCCTCCTCCCCTCTCCATCCCTCCCTCCCTTTTTTGCTGCACCCCTCCTCCCCACTCCATTCCCCCCCCCCCTCCCCCCCACCTCCTGTCTACACATCTCTCCTCCCGACTCCAATCCCCCCTCCCCACTACGCATTCTTCATCTCCTTTCCACTTCCTGCCTTCCCCGTACACCCTCCCCTATCCGCCAGCCCCCTCACAATCCCATGCCCCTCCCTCGTCCACATGTCCCCCCTTCCCCGTCCACGTCCCTCCCCCCTCCCCCCTCGCATTCGTGCAGTGTTCTGACAGCGAGGAAGGTCATTCCTTCCCCTCCACACCACCCCTCCGCCCTCCCCATTGCCTTTCCCGGGACCCCCCACTCAGCCGAAGGCCCCAACAGCAAGCTTTCACGTGGCTGTGGGTGAGTGCTGGGTAGAGGTGCCTACAGGTGCAGGTGCCTACTGGTGCAGGTGCCTACAGGTGCAGGTGCCTACATGTGCAGGTCCCTACAGGTGCAGGTGCCTACAGGTGCAGGTGCCTAGAGTTGGAGGTGCCTACAGGTGCAGGTGCCTACAGTTGCAGGTGCCTACAGTTGCAGGTGCCTACAGGTGCAGGTGCCTACAGGTGCAGGTGCCAACAGGTGCAGGTGCCTACAGCAGCAGGTGCCTACAGGTGCAGGTGCCTACAGGTGCAGGTGCCTACAGGTGCAGGTGCCTACAGGTGCAGGTGCCTACGGGTGCAGGTGCCTACAGGTGCAGGTGCCTACAGGTGCAGGTGCCTACAGGTGCAGGTGCCTACAGGTGCAGGTGCTTACAGGTCCCGTGGTTTTGGATTTCCCTATGTCCCCAGGCAAAGGTGAGTGCAGGTTAGTGGGGGGTTGGTAAAGGTGACGACACATGAGTGACCCGACAAAGTAGAGAAGAGGTTGGGATGAGAATGGAACATGGGAAATGTAGATGGGAATGGGGGGTGGTGTGTGTGCCAGGGCTGAGCGGTGCTGACTGTGGTGGCTGAAGGAAGGCGAAATGGTAAGGTGGAAGATGGAGTAGGTGTGAGCAGTGTGGAATGCAGAGAATATGCAAGTAGGGAGTAAGCAGTTGCTGTGAAGGAGCACAAGTCGCTTCACGATTACTCTCTTGCTTCCACTGCACTTCCCTCATCCTCTCCTCGTCTCTCACTATTTTCCCGTGCTGCTAGGACTTGAACTGCCCGCGGGGTGGCATGAATGCTGTGTCGGCAACCCACAGTGTTTGTTGGCGCAAGGTAGAAGGGCAGCAGCACTAGAAGAAAACGCTGCCCTTGTGCTATGAGCCAAGAAGATGATGGGCAGTACATTCACTCTGTTTTGAGGTCAAGGGCCCACCACTACCAATCAGCTGTGTGCGAACCTTCCTGAGGTGATCCTAGGGTCAATCATCATTTGATCGTAGCATGGAATGAGAGCGAATCGGGAATCTCTCGCACTACTACCTTCGAGACCTTCGGCGAACGAAAGGTGGCGTCCGGCACACGATTGCGAGTAAGGATGGCCGGAGGATCTGGTGGTCAGACAAATCTGACAGCTCAAGCACAGTCCAACCCGGCTGCGACAAATGAGGAAACGACGACGATTGGAACAGCTGTCCTCGCACAACTGCTTCAGCGACTCACCAGCTTGGAGCAAGGACTCCAAACATTGCGGACTGGCAACGCGGGAACTTCCTCCCTACCCGCTCAATCGGCCTCGAACAGCCGGAACACCGCCTCGCACACCTTCTCCCTCAACACAAATGGCTCAACCCCCAAGACTCCTCGTCCCAGTGAATAAGCAATTCTCTCTACGCAATCAAGGTTCTTGAGTATATCAAAAATAAAGACAAGTGTGTGCTTTGACGGCAGAGATTTTTATACATGGAGCTTCCAGCTGGAGCTTCTGCTGAAGAACGCGCAGATATTCCACTATTTTGACGGGAGCTATGCCGAGGACACCACCGACGCCAGGACCCGCTACTACAATGAGTCTCTGATGGCATACGGCGTTCTCCTACGGAACATGTCGCCGGTGGAGCAGCTGAGCATTCGCTCATACAAAACATCACCTACTCCACCCCTCGATGCTTGATGCCACCAGAACGGCGTGTATCAACCGAAGGATTCCGTCTCTTCGAGCCGCCTGCTCCAGCAACTACTGGAGGCAAAAATGACCCCAGGAGAAGGCTAATAGCTACATTAATCGCTGTCGGAGCCTCCACAACCAAATCACGAAGTTGGGAAGCAGTATTTCCGAAACAATATTCGTGAATATCGTGCTTCAAGGACTCGGCCCAGAAAGGCGGCCCTACAAGGCGCTTCTCCGACAGCAGGGGGTCATCTTGGAGGCCGCAGCTTCCCGGGCTCACAGCCGCCCTTATATGGGGACGGTTTTTCATGCGGCGGGTCCGTTTGAAGGCAAAACGAGCTGAAATCTCGTCCCAAGGTATCTAGGATTGTGGCAAACACGATCGTGCTAGGCGGTCCAGGATCCGAGTAACATTGCTTCGCATTTTATACCGGTACGGATTTCGCAGCTTCCCGGGCTCACAAACACCCTTATAGGGGGACGGTTCTTCATGCGGCAGGCCCGTTTGAAGGCAAAAAGAGCTGGAATCTCGTCTCAAGGTATCTAGGATTGTGGCAAACACGATCGTGCTGGGCGGTCCAGGATCCGAGTAACATTGCTTCACATTTTATACCGGTACGGATTTCGCAGCTTCCCGGGCTCAAAAACACCCTTATAGGGAGACGGTTCTTCATGCGGCGGACCTGTTGAAGGCAAAAAGAGCTGGAATCTCGTCTCAAGGTATCTAGGATTGTGGCAAACACGATCGTGCTGGGCGGTCCAGGATCCGAGTAACATTGCTTCACATTTTATACCGGTACGGATTTCGCAGCTTCTCGGGCTCACAAACGCCCTTATATGGGGACGGTTCTTCATGCGGCACGCCCCTTTGAAGACAAAAAGAGCTGGAATTTCGTCTCAAGGTATCTAGGATTGTGGCAAACACGATCGTGCTGGGCGGTCCAGGATCCGAGTAACATTGCTCACATTTTATACCGGTACGGATTTCGCAGCTTCTCGGGCTCACAAACGCCCTTATGGGGGGACGGTTTTTCATGCGGCAGGCCCGTTTGAAGGCAAAAAGAGCTGGAATCTCGTCCCAAGGTATCTAGGATTGTGGCAAACACGATCGAGGTGGGCGGTCCAGGATTCGAATAACATTGCTTCACATTTTATACCGGTACGGTTTTCGCAGCTTCCTGGGCTCACAAACGCCCTTATATGGGGACAGTTTTTCATGCGGCGGGTCCGTTTGAAGGCAAAAAGAGCTGGAATCTCGTCCCAAGGTATCTAGGATTGTGGCAAACAAGATCGTGGTGGGCAGTCAAAGATCCGAGTAACATTGCTTCACATTTTATACCGGTACGGTTTTGGCAGCTTCCCGGGCTCACAAACGCCCTTATAGGGGGACGGTTTTTCATGCGGCGGGCCTGTTTGAAGGCAAAGAGAGCTGGAAACTCGTCCCAAGGTATCTAGGATTGTGGCAAACACGATCGTGGTGGGCGGTCCAGGATTCGAATAACATTGCTTCACATTTTATACCGGTACGGATTTCGCAGCTTCCCGGGCTCACAAACGCCCTTATAGGGGGACGGTTTTTCATGCGGCGGGCCTGTTTGAAGGCAAAAAGAGCTGGAGTCTCGTCCCAAGGTATCTAGGATTGTGGCAAACACAATCGTGGTGGGCGGTCCAGGATTCGAATAACATTGCTTCACATTTTATACCGGTACGGTTTTCGCAGCTTCCCGGGCTCACAAACGCCCTTATATGGGGACGGTTTTTCATGCGACGGGTCCGTTTGAAGGCAAAACCAGCTGGAATCGCGTCCCAAGGTATCAAGGATTGTGGCAAACACGATCGTGGTGGGCGGTCCAGGATTCGAATAACATTGCTTCACATTTTATACCGGTACGGATTTCGCAGCTTCCCGGGCTCACAAACGCCCTTATAGGGGGACGGTTCTTCATGCAGCGGGCCCGTTTGAAGGCAAAAAGAGCTGGAATCTCGTCCCAAGGTATCTAGGATTGTGGCAAACACGATCGTGGTGGGCGGTCCAGGATTCGAATAACATTGCTTCACATTTTATACCGGTACGGATTTCGCAGCTTCCCGGGCTCACAAACGCCCTTATATGGGGACGGTTTTTCATGCGACGGGTCCGTTTGAAGGCAAAACGAGCTGGAATCGCGTCCCAAGGTATCAAGGATTGTGGCAAACACGATCGTGGTGGGCGGTCCAGGATTCGAATAACATTGCTTCACATTTTATACCGGTACGGATTTCGCAGCTTCTCGGGCTCACAAACGCCCTTATATGGGGACGGTTTTTCATGCGGCGGGCCCGTTTGAAGGCAAAAAGAGCTGGATTCTCGTCCCAAGGTATCTAGGATTGTGGCAAACACGATGGTGGTGGGCGGTCCAGGATTCGAATAACATTGCTTCACATTTAATATCGGTACGAATTTCGCAGCTTCCCGGGCTCACAAACGCCCTTATAGGGGGACGGTTCTTCATGCGGCGGGCCCGTTTGAAGGCAAAAAGAGCTGGAATCTCGTCCTAAGGTATCTAGGATTGTGGCAAACACAATCGTGGTGGCGGTCCAGGATTCGAATAACATTGCTTCACATTTTATACCGGTACGGTTTTCGCAGCTTCCCGGGCTCACAAACGCCCTTATATGGGGACGGTTTTTCATGCGACGGGTCCGTTTGAAGGCAAAACGAGCTGGAATCGCGTCCCAAGGTATCAAGGATTGTGGCAAACACGATCGTGGTGGGCGGTCCAGGATTCGAATAACATTGCTTCACATTTTATACCGGTACGGATTTCGCAGCTTCTCGGGCTCACAAACGCCCTTATATGGGGACGGTTTTTCATGCGGCGGGCCCGTTTGAAGGCAAAAAGAGCTGGATTCTCGTCCCAAGGTATCTAGGATTGTGGCAAACACGATGGTGGTGGGCGGTCCAGGATTCGAATAACATTGCTTCACATTTATATCGGTACGAATTTCGCAGCTTCCCGGGCTCACAAACGCCCTTATAGGGGGACGGTTCTTCATGCGGCGGGCCCGTTTGAAGGCAAAAAGAGCTGGAATCTCGTCCTAAGGTATCTAGGATTGTGGCAAACACAATCGTGGTGGCGGTCCAGGATTCGAATAACATTGCTTCACATTTTATACCGGTACGGATTTTCGCAGCTTCCCGGGCTCACAAACGCCCTTATATGGGGAC